GAGAGAGCACAGTGCGGACCCAACAGACATTTCCCCAGAGGGTGGGGTGGGACCGAGAAAGAATCTGTTCTCTTCCATGCATCTGAACTAACACCATGGAAACCTGACCGATCTGGGGGCCGCCCCCTGCTATGACTGGAAAGCAGAGAAGTCTAACCACTAGGAAATAGGGAAGCAGACGCCAGGAGAAAAAGCACAGGAGGTGGAAAAAAGTGCCTTCCAAGGTTCTGAGCGACGTTCCAGTCTGGTGCTGGTCCCTTCCAGGAGTCTGGCTGCTTTCTGGCCTCGGGACTGCTGGGTTCATGGAATGAATTCCTTTCTTTTAAGCTGCCTGGAGTTGATTTCTCTTACTCCCAAAGTCACAAATCATATAGATTAAAGGGGATTTCAGGGTCTTGATCAGGAAGTGAAGTTGTTCTTTAAGAGCAAGGCCTCCCACATCCCCTGAAACATCAGCCAGGACCTGAGGCCCTGGGTTTTGGACAATGTTCTAGAATGCCAAGCTGCAACTCAAGGGGAAAGCGTCAGTCTGAGCCATCTGGTATGAGGGGTCATTCCCTGGGAGGAAACTACCCAGAGTCCACTCACTCCAGGGACTAAATCCTACAAACAGACTCTCCCAGTTCCAGGGGAATTGAATAAGCTTTCTAGAATTGAACGGGCTTTCCAGAGCAATCCCTCCTGCAAATGGGCTACCGATATCTGATCCTGTTCAAAACGTTTGGTGAAGAAATAGAGTCACCATAAATATATTCCAGGAGGGTTCCAAGGGCTTTTCAATGACATCACTCTCAAACTCACTTTTCTCAGAGGGTCCACAGGACTGTGCCCTCCCTGGAGGAAGGCCCTGATGGTCAGGAGAAGGTTCTGGGTAGCAGGCATTTCACAAGGACCAGGGAGCTGGTGCTGTTTTGAAGCCACAAAGCATCTACTGGATTGGGCTGACTTTTCATACAATGTGAATACACAGGAAGAGAACTTACTGTGCATATTTCTAGCTAGGTGACCTTAGTTGTTTTAGGTCTGAGCTTTAGCTTCGTCATCTTCAAACACAGTTCCTCATAACAAATTACGGTACCTGACGCGTGGTACGTTAAGAGAGGCAAACGGACGGTGACAGTCATGGGTAAACAACTGAAAAGATTGCTAAGCTTTTACGAGTGAAAATCTTCAGAGTCACCAAAGGCCGTCCAGTGAGTGCACTTAAAGGCTGCCCCTACATTGAGACTTTTAAGATCAAAGCATTTTTTCTTCTAAGGAGATATTTCCAGAAAGTTTCTCCATACGCACCTCCAACTTCCACCAACCCCCGATCTCATTCCCTCTGTAACCGGTGCCCTGCCCGCCCAGATACTCACACTAAACCCTGTCACCCCAACTCCGTCCCTTCCCTTAAACCGCCCCTCTAGGCCACTCACAAATCTGCCAGGTGCATCTTCAAACTGTCGGTGCGACCTCCTAAAGTTTACAAGGTTTAGACTACACGCTCGTTCAAGGGTGACGGTAATTTTAAAGCAATGAAAATGTATCATCTTAGGCTGCTTAATCTATAAGAGAAGCTCAGAGTCCCCCATCTTCCCTTCCTCCGGGCAGTTGTCACCTCGATTCTGTGAACGATGGCTTACTCCAGAGAGGTGCAAGGGAGCTGGCTTGGTGGGTTGTAGGTCACTCAAGAAATTTGGTATGATGTAGTACTTTTAAAATGGAGTGTAGTATGGAGAAGGAATTCTATTCCCAAGTCACTGCCCAGAGAGTCTAGAATGTTACCTCCTCAGGACACTGTTTAGATAGTAAAAATAGACATCTCAGGGCCTGCTTTGATGTCCGTTTGGTCTTCTAAATGGGGAATAGAGAGCTGACAGGAATCTTGGCTGGTCCCAAGCTGGTCTCCAGTGCAATGCGTATGACCCATCAGAGAGAATGATGAACTCACGGCCAAGGGTATGATGAGTGGGAAGAAGAGTTTTGGCTTTGGAGACCCCACTTCCATGGGGAGGGTTTTACTATGGGTGTGCTGACAGGTGAAACCATTTGTAAGTATCCTGTCTCTGAGTATCAAAAAGAGATGCCTTTTTTTTTTTTTTAAGATTTATTTATTTGACAGAGCACACGCGTGCACAAGTACATCCACGAGTTTGGGGAGGGGCAGAGGGAGAGGGAGAGAGAGAGTCCTCCAGCAGACTCCCTGCTGAGCATGGAGCCCAACATGGGGCTTGATCCCAGGACCCTGAGACCATGACCTGAGCCAAAATCAAGAATCTGCTGCTTAATCGACTGAGCCACGCAAGCGCCCCAAAATGTCTATCTTTTGAAATACATCCAACTGCTAACTTGTTGGGCTCTATCCTATTCTTAGGCTGAATCTGTACTGAAGAGATTTTTATTGATTGGTATGTTTTGGTTACAAGTGTTTTAGATGCTTTTTTGTAACGCACATAAATACAAGCAGAATGAAAATTACTCTCGTAGGACTGATACATAAAGTCAAATTTTCACATCCACCTGTATGGATGTAACTTGTCATTTTTAAAGCTCTACTGGAATTCTCTTCCAGAAAACATGTTTCTATGGAACCTGCTTTTGTTCCTGGAAAATAACAGATGTATCACATAGGATTCGTTTGTTCAAGGTCAAAAAAAGCTTTAGAGGATGACTCAGGCCTTGAAGCCCATTGGTTTCATTCTGCCCCATTGGCGCAGTGTCCTCTCAGAGATCTGAATAGTCCTAACTGCTGCCTTTTGGAAAACTTGACTCCCTGGAGGTGAGCCCACACGGCCTCCTCCTCTCTAATGTATGAAAGAGTCACCAGGATAAAGCACCTGCTGGGCTGGAGGCCAGCTTTGGGTGAATTTGAGAAATTAGATGGAAGAAGACTGTGAAGGGTGGTTCCAGTGACATAGTCTGGCTGTGGGGAAAGGGTAGATAAGTTAGCGCAGGACCAGGAAGGGCTAGGACCCATCTCAGGGTGAAGGGTGGGTTCAGAGGCCGAACGCGAAGGCAGAAACTTTGGCTGCCTTGGCATCCAGTACAGCCCTAGGGTCTGGAGCAACTCTCATAATATGTTATGAGACACAAAACTTATCTGTTGGATGAATGAATGGAGTGTTTGCCTATAGCACAAGCACACTGCATGATGACAAAGTCTTAAATAACACCCCATTCAAAGCAGGGCTGATGTCACTCGAGGCTTACTTCCTCCCCCTTTTAGCAGACAGCTAGCTCAGCTGGTCTAAGTCAGTCAACATAAAACAGGCTGACGTCAGTTGCTAAGCTTCAGATGCCTCCCCCTTTTACAAGACCACTTCCTGACCAGGAAGTTTTCAGGATTTCATAATTGTCCCAATGTTTCCATTTGGCCTCTAAAGTGAAGGGCGTTACAAGGGTATGGTGCTTCTGGAAACTTCCCACAACCTTTCCACCTGTGCTCTGAAGCTCCTCTGCCTGTAGTTAATAATAAACAAAACTGTACACTTATACCTTGAGAGGCTTTAGTGATGGGTGGTCCATGCCCGTGGTCACTACAGTGGCCCCATTCAGATCCTACCAGCCCCAGAAGGCTGTCTTGCAGGACAGCTCCTGAGTCTACGTAGATAGAACTTGAGACAAGAAGAGGGAAGGATATGAAGAAGGCAGAGGACAAAACTGAGGAAAGTCAGGGCGCCTGGGTGGCTCAGTCGTTAAGCGTCTGCCTTCGGCTCAGGTCCAGCTCCCTGCTCGGCGGGAAACCTGCTTCTCCCTCTCCCACTCCCCCTGCTTGTGTTCCCTCTCTTGTTGTGTCTGTCAAATAAATAAATTAAATCTAAAAAAAAAAAAAAAAACTGAGGAAAGTAAAACAGAGGAGAAAGATGGTATGGTTTTCTGGAAAGACTCTTGCACAGGATTTAGAAGAATTCATTCTTGACCCAATTCATCTGACTGACACGCTAGCCAAATTCATTTAGTTTGATTAATACAACAACTACGCCAACTATGAGCAGGACTTCAAGCCACAGGAAGAAACCAATCTGCAGGATTGACCACAGCCATGTTCTCCAGGGTCCTAGATCCAACCAGTGGAACAAATCCCAGAGATTTCTACCTAGAAAGCTTTCTCCTTTAGTTTCTGTATTGACTGCTCCTCTTGGCCCGAGGGAAGAATCCAGGCTTGGTGGAATGCTGTAGCAACTGCAGCCTCCCCCTTAGCATGCAAGGAGGAAGTCTAGGGAGAATCCATCATCCAGACCAGCCAGGCCCATGAGCTGAGCTGCCCTGGTATCTTCCAGAGGCGAGGTGGTACCACTGATCACTTCAACGAAAATCAGGGACAAATTTCATACCATATCATCAGTACTCAAACCCAAATCAAGATCACTGTCTCCCAAAGAAACCGACCTTCCTGACTTATCAAGACCCACTGGGATGGGTCCAGCCTGCACAAATCTATGCTTCTCGGTCCCCATGGCTGTGGTCCTCGGGGTCTCTGTGAAGCACCAAGACATCCCCTTTGTCAAGGCCAACAGCCAACTCTCAGCTATATCTGGCTCACCTCCCTTTTCCTGTGCTTCCCCTGTTCCTTCTTCTTCATTGGCCCTCCCAACAAAGGCACCTACCTACTTCAACAAATGACGTTTGCATTTGTGTTCGCTGTGGCTACTTCCACTGTTTTGGCTAAAATCATCACTGTGGTTTTTGGCTTTCAAGACAACTGTGCCAAGGAGGAGGATGAAGCAGGACTGTTATCAGGAGCACCTAACTGTCATTCCCATCTGCGCCTCGATCCAAGTCACTATCTGTAGAATCCGGTTGGGACCTCTTCCTCCTTTCATTGAAACGAACACACACTCTGCATCTACACACGTCATCACTGGATGCAGTGAGGGCTCTGTCACTGCCTTCTACTATGTCCAAGGATACCTGGGATCCTTGGCCCTGGGGAGCATCACTGGGGCTTCGATGAAGCCAAGTTCAAGCATGCTGCTCTCCTGCAGTGCCTGGGTGACCTCCCTCCCTGTCCGTCACAGCACCAAGGGGAAGGTCAACATGGCCATGGAGATCCTTTCTATCTTGGCCTTCAGTGCCAAGCTACTAGGCTGCCTCTTTGCCCCCAGGCGCTATATTATTATTCCTCCCAGGCCTGATAAGAACACCCTGAAAGGTAGAAGATCCTAGAGTCAATAAACACTGCAAAGATTTACTTCCCAGCTTTCACATAGATGAGTAACAGATGCATGAAAATAAATCACCTTTTTTTTTTATAGAGATAGTGGTTCAAAGCTAAATTTGTAATTCTTTTCTCAATCAACACAGGTTTTTTCTATATTGTCTAGTATATCAGGAGCACAGCCTCAATCATTAATTCCTGAAACTTTAGGGCTATCTTGGATATTCTGTTCACCAACACCGAATCTATTATTTATTTACATGCATGAGGACTTCATTTTACCCTCCACTTCTGAATCGGTTTTCTAACCCATGTTCTGATAGGTGGTACAGCTGGTTAGGTTGTCCACTGTTTTAACTTTGCCCAAAGAACCTTTAGGCATCAGCAACAGGAGTTGATGCTTGTCCGTAGATAACGTATGTAGTCTTTCACATCCTAATTTGTGCATTTACTCTCCTGTCTTTTCTTTTAATTTTCTTAGAGTTCTATTTTTACCTTCTAACTTTTCATCTGGTATTCATTTTTGTGAAGGTTCTTGGAAGAAGTGACACCACTCTTTTAAGCGAGAGAACTGGAGGGGGTCTGATTTGTCACCTGCCCTGAGTGAGTGGGGTCCACATGACCAGAAGGGCCTGGAGGGGGTTTAGAGCCAAAAGTCTCCACTTTGAGGAGGCCCTACACGATGACAGGGGAATATATGAGCTGAAGATGTCACGAGCAAGGAGGGGACAGAATCTTGGCTTCCTGGGACCCTTGAATCCTGGGGACTCTGTGCCATCGAGGGGCCAGTGACTGGAAGTACAAGGTCAGAGACAGCGGAGGGAAGAACTTGCTGAGAGTCACAGCCCGCCAGCCCCCAGAGGTAGAGGCAGGAGAAGGGGGGGGTCTGCCCACCATCTGGAGTGACAGGGAGCAGCTGGGACTTGAGGGAGTGGGAAGGAGTGTGTGTCCCCAGGGCCGGGGAGGATGACCGCCAGTTATATTATGTGTTTTCTATTGCTGCTATAGCAAATTATCACAAATTTAGTGGCTGAAAACAACATAAATTCATTATCTTTCAGTTCTGGAGGTTAGAAATCTGACATAGCTCTCATTGGGCAGTGCTCCTTCCTGGAAGCTCTCTAGGGCAGAACCCATTTCTTCGCCTCTTGCAGCTTCTAGAGGTTTTCCGTCCTCTGATTTTCTGCTGTCTTCCACTTTTAAGAACACTTGTGATTAGATTGGGCCCACCCAGGTAATCCAGGATAATCTCCTTATTGCAAGACCTTAATCACATCTACAGAGTCCCTTTGGCCAGTAAGGTGACTAATTCACAGGCTCTGGGGATTAGGTCATGGCTATTTTGGGGCAACAATGATGCTGCCTACCACACCCAGCAACTGAAGAACTGAAAAGGCAAAACAAGAATTCTCAAAAGAATTACAGAAAGCAGCCCCTCTCCCTAGGGCTGGAGGAAGAAGGGAAAGAGGCTAAAAAGAGTGAAACTTAAGAGGCTTGGAAGATGGGCCCCATGGGGCAGGAACCCAGAACTCTGAGAAAGGGGTGCATCTCAGCGGGTGGCGGGGCTTAGAAGGGGGCTCGGGAACAGGTTCTGTGAGTGCTGGGAAGCTGCCAGCCGGACTCAGCCCCACCCCGGGGGCTGTTCCTACGCAGACACTGATCACGTAGTTCCGTTTCCTGTGTTGCTTTCTCCAATTGTCTTCCACTTATTGCCATCGACGATGGACTTCCACATACAATGGGGATATGAAGCTTCCCATCTTAATAAATTCCGGTTTTAAAAAGGAAGCATATAAGTGTTTGTAACGAAAGGTGGGTAGTAGATAATGGAGAAAGGACGGTTCTATGTATCTGCTGCTGCATCCAAAAGATACCCCCAAACAGTGGCTTGAAACACAAGCGGTTATGCGGTTTGCTCCCAAATCTGGGGTTGACTGGCTCGGCTAGGCGGCTGTTGTTTGGGGGTGGGGGGCATCTCCTAAGGTTCCAGTCAGACGGTGGCCAAGGCTGCAGTCACCCCAAAAGTGTTCTCATTCACATGCTCAGGGTCTGGGCAGGGAGACCCAAGCAACTGGATCCCACATGAGCTGGCTCTGCCAGGCATCCATCTCTCTCTCTCTCTCTCTCTCTCTCTCTCTCTCTGGTGTGCCCACATGGTCTCCCCACATGGCTGCTCGGGGTGGCCGACTTCTCACTCAGTGGTGAAATCCTCCCAGCACGAGTGTCCAGGAGAACACGCAGAGGGCTTGGGGGCTTTTGGAACCCAGCCTCAGCAGGCCGGTGGCCCGGCCATCCCACTGCATTGTCAAAGGCCAAGGTTGAAGGCAAGGGGCTGTTGCCTCCATGTCTTGATGGCAAGAGGGAGAAAGAACTGGTGGGTGTTTGACAACCATCACCAGGACAGAGGATGACATCGCGGGAGGCTGAAAATCAGGAAATGTGGGGAAAGGCCCCCACTGGTTTTGCAATCCTTTCTCACTTTGGGTTTACCTGACCTCTCCTTGACTCGTTCCCAATCCTCCACATTCTGGAAAAGCCAGGCCCTTCCCCACTTCCCAGCCCTTGTCCCTGCCTTTCCCTCTCGCTCGGCAGGCCATCCATCCATCTGGCAACTTCATTCCTCAAGGTCCAGTCCCACAGTGCCATCTGCCAAGACACAGCCCTCCCGTCCTGCCCTGACCACACAGACGGCGAGTGTCTTCTGGACTCTTTCTCCAGCAGTGAGCAGGACCCCATGCAGGACAGGACCCATGGGACGCAAACAGCTCCCCAGTCACCAAGGTCACCTTTCCTAGGAGGCATTGGCAAGGTTCACTGTGTGAGTACACGGTTCCTCTCCACTCATCTGTTGTCACCTCTGCTTATCCCTGGGGATGCCTGCAGCCTGGTATGGACCCTTGGCCAAACCTGAATGAAATGCATGAATTAGTGATTAATAGGGTCCTGCGCTGGTGTCTGGGACAGTCCAGAGGCAATCTGCAACCACTGGTCTGCACCGTTTACAGAAGGTGTACCAACTGATGGTTTGTACCTGGTCTCTCTCATGTTCTTTTGGTTTCTGAAACTGAGCCTGGTGTGGCCGCATGACCAGCATCCCTTTGTATGAAGCAGTGGCTCCCTGAGACTGAGGTCACTCCTTTTTGGTGGGTCTCCCCGACCCCCGCACTACTCACAAGGACTGCAACAGCTAAGGGGTGGGGGGAGAGCACTTGCCTCTGAAGGCAGACCTGGGAGTGACAGTTCAAGGACTGCATAGGAGATAGCAGGACTGCTAGCCTCTTCTCGAAGGTCCTCACCCCTTCCCCACACACAGACCCAGAGCTCCCCATGCACTGGACACAGCCGCTGCAGCTCCAGGCCGCCACCCTGTGGGATCAGCAGCCGGTCTTTCCTGCCAACAGAACAAGGGAAGGTGTCCCTGTCCAAGGGAAAAGCCAGGACAGGACTCATCTATCCCCAGCCACCAGCAGCCTTCACCCAAGGTGTCCCCAGACACTGGACCCTTCCCAACACAGGGGGGCCAGCAGGTCTTACTCCCATGGGTTTGGAGCCCTGCCATGCTCTCCCCCTGCCCTGCCTCGTGGAATGAATGTTTGTTTCAAATCGCAGCAGGATGTGGAGGGGGCCAGGATGTAGCCCCCAGCCTCAGGTGAGTCATGAATAATGTACTTAGTTGTTTGAGCCCCATTCTGCAGTCAAACCAAGCCCTTCCCTCCACGTGCACCGAGCACCACACCTGGAAGGGGTTGAGACATGGGGACCTCCACAGCACCAGGGTCCCAGGGTCCCAGCTGTACCTCTTGCCTGCTTTTCCCCTCCTTCCCTGGATGGCAGAACAGTGGTCTTGCACAGCGATTGTTCTTATGGACAGCAAACAGGGCCCAGGGAGGGGAAGGACTGGGCTATCATCACGGGGAGACCGAGGCCCTGGCTGCCCGGCCCCCACCCCTGGTTCCTGCCCACAACAAGAGTAACAAAAGCCAGAGCTCACATCTGCACAACCCTGGACAAGGCCAACCAGGAAATTCCCAACCTGGACCGGGACCCTGAACTGACCAGAACCTGACTTTTATCCTCACTCCAACGTTGACCCTCACTCCTTCTAAATTCTCGCCCTCACTCCAATCCTAACCCCTAACCCTAACCTGACACTGACCCTGCTTCTGACCTTAACCTTAATCCCTAACATTGACCTTGACCCGGACCCTGAACTTACCTCTTCCCCAGTGCCCAGCCATCCCTCTGGGAGAGCTGACAAATGAGGCCAGGTGGCTCTCCCTCGGGAACCCCGCTCAGGGAGCATTTACTCACAGCATTGCTGAAGCTTCTCCAGCAGCCCTGCGTCCTCTTGCTGCGCACCGCCCCCCCCCCCGCCCTCCCTCCAGCCTTCTCCCAGGCTGCAGTGGGCAAGGGATTTGTCTGGGCCGTGCCCTGGCTCCCAGCACCCTCAGGGGTGATCTGAATAGAGGCCTGGTCAGAACTTGGGGCCCTCTAGCCGCCCCCCAGCTCCCACTCTGGAGTAGCCGTAGACTTGGCTTCTCCAGCTTCCTCTTCTGCCATTGACACCTTTCTGGGAGGAGAGCCAGCCCTCCTCACCTGTTCCATGGTCCAGACGGTACCCCATGCAGGGAAGAGGGCTGGCATCCAAGAGCGTGAGGCTCGCTGACTGAGGGAGGGAGGCAGTCCCTACAGGGGACTTCACGGGGGCCCTCTGTGCCCCGCTCCCCTTCAGGAGGACACCATCCCCACCAAACACAACCATCCAACAGCTATAACCTGGCCACCCCTTGGCATTTCCTGCAGTGGGAGCTCAACCCTGCAACAGATTAGCGCATGGAGACACCTGCTGGACCAGCCACATTGCTGCCAGGTGGTCAACCTGAGCCCTGGGGACAGAGAGGGCGTCTGTCCTTTCTTCCCCTTCTCTGGGGCTTTGGCATCAACCTCCTGTCTGCGCCTGGCCTGAGCGTGGCCGGGCCTCTGTTCCACGGGGGGCCCCTGCCTATGCTGGTTACACCTCAAGGGCTTCTGTATTCACAGACGCTGCCCTGGCCAGGCTTGAACGCAGACCTGCCCTAGAGCCTGCGGCCCTTCCCCGTCTGACCTTTCCTGAGTCAACCTGTTTCCAGCTTCAGTGCCCACCATCATCGGTGCCCAGGGAGAGGCGGTGAGCACTGTACCTGGAGGATAGGGCCCCCACCTGTCATGCCCCAGGAACATGACAGGGGCAGGGAATGGGCCCCAGAGAGGAGCTGGGAGGCTCCTTCCTTGGGCCACAGGGCCTCATGGGAGCTGGGCCTGTGATGATGGAGCAGCCTGGGACCCAGTGGGCTGGAGGAGGGCACATCTAGGGCACAGAACGAGGAGGGGTGGGGGCAGAAGTGGGGGGCACAGGGGAAGCAGGGACTGAGAGGTTGCATGAGAGGCTGCAGACAGGGCCTGGGCTGCAGTGGGAAGGGGGTGGTCGGGCTATGTGACAGGTACATCTGCTCACACAGAGGCCATTTAATCTCGGTGTCTCTTTCTCAGGCCCAAATCCAGGCCCCTGAGGACAGGGCTGGTGTGGCCCTTTGCTGCCGGTCAGAAAACCGCCTGCAGCTGTTGAACAGGATCCCCCCACCCCTACCCCCGGCCTCTCGCCTCTCTGGCCCAGGTGATCATGAGGTTCAGTTATAATGAATTTTACCACTTTGTCACCATCACTGTTGAAAGGAGAATCCTCATCTCAGAAAACAAGATGGGGACCAGATGGGAACAGAGGGCAGACGGGACCCAAGCCAGGCCCCACCAGGCCGCTTTTGACATTGGCCAGCTCACCAAGGTGCTGGAGTCCCCGGTTGCCAGCCTGACCTCCCACATAGATGCTAGTGTATTCTCACTGCAGCCAAGGGGCTCCTGCAGCAGGTGGAAGAGGTCATTGCTGGGGTCCCTGCAGGTGACCCATCTCCATCGGCCTCCCTGAGGCACCCACGTGGCAGGTGGTGGCCTGGTTCCAGGTGTCACTTCTTTAAATGAACACTGACCTCCGTGTCAATATCCTCACTGTCTCTGGTTTTGCTGTAAGGGTCCGCTACAGACCCAGCTGCCCTCGGGGTCTCCCGAGACCCTGTCCTTGAGGCTCCAGCTCAACTGGTGGTGGACAAGGCCCAGCGACGGCGGGTGGGGGCGTCCTGGTGAACGTGAACTACAGGGAGAGCTCACGGATCCTGAAGGAGTGGGGCTAGAGCATCGCGCCAACTCAGGGCCACCTTAAGACAAGTCCGTCCGCACTTGTCAAGAGACAAGAACTCGCTGATGACCACTGAAGAGGATTAAAGTACCGGTGGGCTGTCAGAGCCCTGGGGAAGCATGAACGCCCATGACATCTGGATATCCTCACTCTTCATCAGTCCCGCCCCCTTCCAGGGACCTTCCTGGGGGACACCACGGGGGTTTCTGGCAAAACCAGAGCCCAAGACTTCATTCACACTGCCAAGTTTGGTGGAACCAGCCCCAGAAAGCTTCACCCCTGCCCCACAGCCCTACGTCATCTGAGGGTCTGTGGGTGGCCCCTGGCCACCAGCAGCCCCCCACCCTGAGGCTCCCGGTGGGGATTCAGCCTTGGGCTCAGGTGAGACTGGGCTTTCTCAGAGCCTCCCTCAGCCCCTCCCTCACAGGCCTCGAGGCCAGTGCTTCGGTTATGGAAAGCACAGCCAAGGATGGTGACCTGACTCGCTTACAACCCCGGGCATGGTGGCAGGATGGCCATGGTGCCGGGGCCCAGCTTGCCCTCTAGGGCCACAAAACTGCATAAATCCACCCTCTCCCCATGCTTCGCCCCTGGACCCTTCAAAACATGGTCACCCTGCCTACTGTCACACATCTCCCGTTAGGACAGGGGGAGCCCCTCCAGGTCACCTGGTCCAAGCCCCTCGATGGGGGGAGGAGAGACTGAGGCCAGGCAGGGATGAAGCCCCCCCAGGCCTTGCTCCTGTGTCTTTCAGTCCCACACTAGAACCACCATGGGCACAAAGTCCTCCCCTCCCAAAGGGCACCCGTGCCCCCGCTGTCCTCCTGCGCCCAGGCCTGTGGGCTGCAGGCCTGTGGTTTGCAGGCACTTGGGGCCCGCCGGAGGTGTGGCAAACGAGGCGAGTGTCCCCACTCCGCCCCGCAGCTTGCTCCGGCGCCAACATGTACCCCACAGCTACACGGGCCGGCAGAGACTTCCAAGCCCCTGCTCGATCGCATACCACCAAGGGGAAAGGCCTGGCCCGAGGCCATCCAGCAGGTCAGGTGGCCCGGGAGTCTGTTCAGCCTTGCCTCCCTGAGAGGCCAGCTCAGCCCCGGAAGGGGGAAGGAGGAAGGTCCCCAAGAGGCCGCTCGTGGACAAGAGTTCCACCACACAGAGCGGTCACTAGCCACTTGGAGCCTCTGACCGAGAGTGGAGAAACAGGGAACAACACCGACGATGATGTGAGGATTTCAGCCCAGCTGAATAATGGCAGACTTACAGAAGGACTCCAGAATCCAGCAAGATGGGTGGAAGGTCCGTCACGGACCATCTAAGCCACTGGGATACAGACAGCAACGCTGAGGCCTGGGCGGGGTCAGGAGGCAAAAAAGCCCGTGAGCCAAGGCAGGTCAAGGAGGTGGTCCGAGACTGACCGAGTGGCAGGGGGAGGGCTCCAGGGTCACAGTGGGCTGCGCTCAGGGCGGCAGCCTCGTCTCCCTGGGAGACACTGAACTGCTCATCTCCTCCGAGAGCCACCTCCAGGGCCCCAGACTGTCGTCTGCTCTGTGGGCAGCGAGGGCCAGGCCGGGCCATGCTTGTTCCCTGGGGAAATCGGTGGCGGCCCCTCTCCACTCTGCAGTGGGCCCGGGGCGGCCGAGCTACCAGGGCTCCCTGGAGTCCCAGCGACCAGCAAAGCGGTGCAGCCTCATGTCTTCCTTCTGGATGTGCTCGTAACAGGACTGGCGGGAAAGAGGCGAGGCTGAGGGGCAGCTCCCCCGGCCCCATGCAAAGACACACCAATACCCAGGGGGCACCCGTCTCCCCGGCCTGGGACCACCCCGACCCATCTCCAACTCAGCCTCAGCTACAGTCTGCAAGGAAGGGGGGCCTCCCCTCTCCTGTTATGCCCAGGGATGCATGGGCATGTCCCTGGAACATGCTGGGGGCCCTTCTCCAGCCCCTTCCTTTAGCAAGGGCAGGGCCAGGGACTCTGTGGGGTCCCGCCCACAGAAGGACATACGAGCAGTGAATTTGGGGTCCAGGGCAGGGAAGGCGTCTGCCCCACTGGCCAGGGTGTTTCTGCCTCCGTCCACCACCTCTGTCCCTCACCTCCAGGGCCGTAAGCAGGAAGTCACATAGGCCTCCTGTGTGGATGGGGTCCATCATGTCGCGGATCAGGTGGATCTCGGCTCCCAGGTGCTGGATTCTGGAGAACGCCCACCCCCATAGTGAGAGGGAGAAGGGGGCCCATCAGGGACAGGCACCAAGCAGCCGGGGAAGGAGCCCTGGCCTGCGTGGATGGACACCTGGGCTGTGGTCCCCGCTCTGCTCCTGGCCCCCACGGGACCCTAGGTGGGGCCTCTCTGGGCCTCAGACCCCCGCTCCATACCAAGAAAAGCTGTGTCCATAAACCCCAATGTTCAAAGACCTCCGAGCGGGTCTGGGCTGGGGGTCAGGGCAGGATGGGAGGTGATGTCCTCCCGCAGCCCACCCCCAGCCCCCGGCCCAGCTGGGGCTCACCGGGCACGTGACACCACGTAGATGAGCAGCGGCAGCAGGTCGTCCATGGGCAGCTTGTGCTCCCGGCCCAGCACACGCGACACGGTGGCCTCAATTTCCCCGTATGTCCTCTCCAGCACCTCCAGCTTCTCCCGGGGGTCCACCGTGGTGCTGCAGCAGGGCGGCGGGCTCCAGATCAAGGCCCTCGGGTTCAGCCCCAACCAGGGGCCCCCACACTCCTGCCCCCCGCCCCCCACCCTGCCCAGGGCATGGACTCACATGATCTTCTGCAGACACTCAGTGGCTGACAGGAAGCACTTGTTCCTGACCAGGGAGAGTCTCTGCCGTTGGGGGGGGAGGGGAACAGATGGATGAGGCCATGGTCCCCCCAGCCCTGTCACCGCCTCCCTCCCAGGGCCAGAGCTCTTGCCACCCACCATTCCCCATCACTGGCTCCAGGAGAGCCCAGCCCCGAGTGACCCAGGGCAAGTCACAGCTCCACCGTGAGCCTCAGTTTACTCAACTGTAAAGTGGGATAATGGTCTCCGGGAGGTTGGGAAGGAAGATAACGATCCCAATGGCCACTGGGTACCACAGGGGGTGGGTTCCCACGTCAGCGGCACTCCAACCCAAGGACTTGTTGAAACACAGAGTCCAGGTCCGCTCTCTGAGTTTGACTCATTATGTCTGGGGTTGGGGGGGGGCCAAGAATCTGCTTTTCTAAAGGCTTCCCAGATGCTGCTGGCCCAGCACGCCCACCTTGAGAGCCACCACCTCGTGTGGAGCGGCCCCCCGCCCCCTCCCGACCCTCCCATGAGGGGGCACCAACGCCTCAGCGGCCGGTACTCTCATCCGTGGGGGGAACTGAGGCTCCGAGATAAGTATCCCGCCCATGCCGCATAGCCAGGAAGCGGGGTGGAGCCTGGGTCTGCACCTGCTCATGGTGGGCCAGCAACGGCCCCCTCCCCCACACGGGAGATCAGAACAACCCGGGAAGCCGGTGTCTCCCCCCACACCTGCTGGCCAGTGCTGCCCAGGCCCCTCCGTAGCAGGGAGGCGGAGCACCGCTCAGAAGGCTGAACAGACTCTGGGGGCCCCGCTCAAGGCTCAGGCCTCCCCCTACCTGGGGCAGGTAACGGACCCACCTTCTCACCTGATTGGTTGTCAGCGTGAGGTCCTTGAGGGGCCACAGGTGCCTGAAATGAAACAAGTGTGACACAGAACCTTTACCAGGAGGAGGGGACAGGGTCTGAGGTCAGAGGGCAAATTCCCTGTACACCGTGTCCCCCAGCAGGGCTGAGCTCAGGAGATGGCCTCCGGGTCCACGATGGTCCACAGGGCAAGGGGAGGCTGGGAAGAGTCCTGGAGAAGACAGTGCCCCAAAACTTGGATAGGGGTGAGGGGCAGCGCTGCAGGCCAAGGGACCCTGTGAGCAAAGTCCCGGGGGTTGGGCCAGAGAATGACAGCAGAAGAGACTGTTCTGGAGGCTTGATGAGCTGGGGCAGGCTGGTGAACGGGGAGGGACATGGGTGCCATGCGATGCAGCACAGGGCAGGGACCTGGGGAGACAATGGAGCAGGGAGGCCAGCGTGGAGGAGGCAGCAGGAGGGGGTGGGGAGGAGGGGACACTTGGGAAGCTGTTGGCACCCAGGTCTCTGGGCTGGTGACTAGTCAGTTGCAGGAGACATTCACGATGGAAGGGGAAACGGGGTTTCAGAGCAGGCGGGTGGGAAGCATCATGGCTGTGTGACAAGGGAGACTGGGTGTGGGGCAGAGAGAGCACCCATGCCCTCCATCGGGCAGGTGGTGACTTGTAGCATCAGTGGATCAGAAGGGGCACTGAGGAGAAAGGATGTTTTAGCAACTGAGGGTAAAAGGGACCTGCTCCCAGAACAGTCCTCAGTTTCCCCTTGAGGACCTCCCCTCCCCCACTCTCAGTCCAGTTGCTGGAAGCAGGACACCTCGCCCCAGCCCCAGTAGTAGATGTTGAGGTAGACTGGCCAATGTGGGCCACAGCCAACATCTAGGGGCAGGCTCAAGACCCAAGCCAAGCCAGTGAGGGACTTCAGCCAGAGCTGTTAGGAAGGGGACACCAGCTCCCTGGGGCACAGTGCGGGACGGAGCTGGTAGAGTATAAACTTTGAGTGGCTGGTACCATGTTTGGCACCATAAATGGGAGCCAGAGATACATCAAGAGAGAAAGAGAAGTTGCTTCCCTTACTACGCAGTTAAGCAGTTAGATCCAGCCATGCCTGAAGCTAGCCACACCAGCATAATCCTAGAACTCTGTGGATACGTGAGCCAATGAACACCATCCCCTTTTCTACCAAAGACCACTGAACTCCGTGTGTACCCTCTGTGCACACGGGCCCTGGCAAACACGGCAAGGAGGGAAGGCTTACTTCTGCACGTCCAGGAACTCGAGCAGCTTGGTGTCAGGGAAGAGGCTCAGGTTGGCAATGCCTTGGCTGTAGAGACTGTCCTCCGTCTCATGAAGCAGCAGGTAGAGAGTGAAGAGTTCTGAGTAGAAGCTGGGCAGCATAAGGGGCAGCACCAGGCCATGCACCTGCAGGTCCCTGAGTGACAGTAGTCAGGACAGGTTGGGGGGCGAGCAGGGTGGGGCCCAGGGGGGAGGGATCCCTGCTTGGGCTGCCCCTCAAAAAGCCCATAGAGCTCCTTGTCCCACAGCAAAAAGCGTCCCTGCCTCCTCCATCCTCTAGAAAACGCTTCCGAAGCCTGTTCTCAGTCATTCACTTCCTCGGTTGAAATCCGTGGCCCCCTGATCCTCTTGTTAGACGCTGAGAACCACTATGAACTCTGGGGCAGGATTGGATCCCCATGTGATTGAAAGCAAAACCAAGGCCCCGGATAGACAAGGGACTTGCAGCAAAGCACTCAGCAGCCATGTCAGGCTGGTCCAGTGCTGCCTCCTCATTTCCTGGGCTTCCTAGGACTCCAGGGGGAGAGTTCTACCTAACATCTAACCCTATCTCCCACGTCTCCTGCAATGTGGAGACAGGCCTCCCTGATCGCAATCTCTGGGCCTGAAATCTGAAGGCAAACTGTAAGGTTTGGTCTTGGGGGACAGAGGAGACAGATTTAATGATGCACTTTAACTCCCGCTCTGTGTGGCCTCAGGCTCAGCCCCTGCCAGGCCCTGAGAGAGGCTCACCTTCTGCACACCTGAGAGAGGAGGCTGGGATGGCGCCTTTACAACAAAGATGCACCTGGTGGGGCGCCTGGGTGGCTCAGTCGGTTAAGCGTCTGCCTTCGGCTCAGGTCATGATCCCAGAGTCCTGGGATCAAGCCCCGTGTCGGGCTCCCTGCTCAGTGGGGAGTCCACTTCTCCCTCTGCCCCTCCCCTCCACTTGTGCTCTCTCTCTCTGGCTCACTCTCTCTCTCTCAAATAAATAAAAAATCTTTAAAAAAAAATAAAATAAAAGATGCACCTGGTGGCAGCGCCCCTGCCCAGGTGACCCAAGGAAGAGGTCATGGGTCATTCTGATCCTCAAATGGTCAACAAACAATGCTTGGTCAGTAGCATGAGCCCCCAACACTTTCCCGGAAGTACCGCTATCCCCCAAGGGAGGCTCCAGGAGCGAAGGTGGTCCTGAGCCTGGCTGCCCCCAGGGTGGGGACCCTGCAGACCCCATGGGAGCGGTCACCTTGTCTCTGTATCTTCGTCCTCCTCTGGAGCTTGGCCCTTGCGCTGTAAGGCCACCTGCAGCAGACCCCTGCAAACCGATAAGACAGACTGTGTAGCTGCCACCTCCCCCAGAACCCGAGTCACGAAAGACCAGGGTGGCGGGCTCCACCCTCCAGAGCCATGGAGCATGAGGAGCCCAGCCTCCCAGACCTCTGTAGTTAGGAAGCTGGGAGCACAGGACCTCAGCCCGAGAGTGCTAGAACTGCAGCATCTGGGGCCCCCACTTGTAATGTTAGATGGGGCCTCGGCTCGGCCGGGACTGGAGGGGGTCTGAGTCCAGAGTCAGGCTCAGCCTGCGGAGGCTGAGAGGTCTCCTGGGGTCAGGGGTCAGCCCAGGGCCTGGTCGAGGCCTGGACTCTGGCTACAGGCAGTCCTGGCTATAACCTCCTACCTTCTAACCCCTTTGCTCACCAGCGGGACACTGACCGACCCACTCTCTGGTTCTTTCTCAGTCCGGAGGCACCATTCCCGCCCAGGGCGCTAGGCAGAGCACCTGACGTCGGGCAAGGACAGAGCCCTACCTGCCTGCCGTCACAGACAGGGCTGCGGCTGTCCCCATGTGCCACCCCGCTCACCTGTAGGCAGCCCAGAGTTCCCGGGCGTGCTGCTTCACCTCCTCCTGGGCCAGTGCCTGCAGGTGCTTGTTGGCCCCGATGCCCGCATACGTGGCCTGGAAGGTCAGCATCAGCGTCCGGAGTAGCTTTCCCAAGGGGTGCAGCGAGTTGCTCAGAGCCTGGCAGGTGCAAAGGCAACAGAGAGGAGTTCGGGGCCAGGAGCTGGAGCACAGCACGCCCCAGCGAGGCTCCCAAGGCTGCTCCCATTTCATAGATGGGAGCACTGAGGCCCTCTGAGGAGAAGCGGTCAGCACCGGGGGCAGTGAGAAGGCCCCCCTCCGCCCACACCGCCTACCCTAGGGCCCTCACCTTCCTGAGGCACTCCCGCAGGGCCCTGGGCTCCCGGTGCAGCAGTAGCTCATCTAGGATGCCTTCCATTCTGTCCGCACAGGGCTCGGGCTGGGTCCTGGGGGACCAGGCACACGCGTCTCTCACCCACACCTGGGCCCCGGCCCGCCCCCTCCAGGAAGCCTTCCTCCCCAGCTCACTCGGAGCCCCACGAACCCCCGCCCTGGCCCTCTGGATGCCCCCACGGGTATGCATCTGCGCGTGTCTGCGCCTACCTCTCGCAGCACAGGTACTCCTGGGACTTGCGCAGCTCCCTCGAGTTCTGCACGTGGAAGCCCAGCAGGGCCTCCTGCTCGTCCCCAGGGCAGCCAGCACTAACGAAGTCCCGGAAGGGGCCATAGACACCCTGCCAGTGGCTCTCCACGGGGAAGGCGCCCACACCTAGCTGCCTGCGATAGAGGCGGGGGCGGGGGGGGCGCGTAGTGGTGGGAGGTAGGGATGGGGCTGTGGTGAGGACCCCAGTCCAGGCCCTTGGAGAGATGGGGACGTCCCACCTGGCCCCGAGTCAGGGCCCAGGAAGGGTGGGTGGACTGGGGGGCGCTGACCTCCAAGGCTCCAGAAGAAAGCAGAGGCAGAGAGAGGGACAGAGAGAATCTACTCCACAGTGGAGAAGAAAGGGACACACAGAGCCCTGGAAAGGAGACAGAAAGATCTGGAGAGCTGGAGGCCAAGTCCAGACAGCAGGTTCTTGGCCTAAGAGAGAACAGGGCCCAGAATCCAGGATCCTCCCACCACACCTGGCTCCTTTCTGAGCTTGATCCTGTCTTGGCCAGCAGGCCTGGGGGTCTGGCCACGTGTGTGCCTAAGGGAGCCCCGCCCTCCCACGCCACGTTCACAGATTTTCCTACACCTGCACCCCACCCAGGCTTGGCCACACCTCTGGGGTTTGCTGTCTACTCCCAGCTCCTGCTGTCAGGGAGAAGCATGCAAGGATGAAGGCTCTAGTAATCAACTCTACTCCCTCCCCCCAACTGAAATGCCGCCTGGGACCATTAGAACTACCACCCGCACCTCAACAGACATGGTAAAAGTCACCACTTGAACTATAGTTTTCCAAGGAAGAACGCTGTCCCCATGGGGAAGAAGTCAATCCCCTTCTCAAAGACCCCATGATAGCAACAATGAGTCCACTTTGCAAGTTTCCTTCTTCACCCTGGCTGCCAGGGAACTCAGAGCTAGGTTCATGCTCAGTCATAACCATTATAGGACTTATTTGTCCCTTCCTTTCCTTTAAGTTCAACTCATACTTTTTTTTTTTTTTAAAGATTTTATTTGACAGAGAGAGACACAGCGAGAGAGGGAACACAAGCAGAGGGAGTGGGAGAGGGAGAAGCAGGCTCCCCGCTGAGCAGGGAGCCCAATGCGGGGCTTGATCCCAGGACCCTGAGATCATGACCTGAGCCGAAGGCAGATGCTTAACGACTGAGCCACCCAGGCGCCCCTCAACTCATACTTTTATTCTCCCTTTTATTCTTGTTTATTTGTGTTGTTTTTACAAACTGTCGTGTACCCTTCCCAGAAATAAAGCAGGGTCTAAGCAAAGCCTCTGCATAATATTTTTCTCTGGTTTTGTAGTGTGTGAAGTTATGCCACAGCCATTGATCCTAAGAGTCCCTGACTTGAGGGCTGTGTGACCTGAGCTCTCTGAACTCTCCAAAGAGCTAAGAGGAAATACAGAAAAGCTTCCCTGATGAGGCCTGCATCCCTGGGGTGGAAACACACACACAAACACACACACACACCCACTCACTCCGGAATGCACAGGCCAGGCGGCCAGCCAGGCTCTTACCTCTTACGGGTGCTGCTTGGATCTGGTGGGAAGGCAGCTGTGTCCAGCACACCCTGGGTATGCAGTCCTTTCCCTGCCCCGCTGCTAAAAGAGCCCTCCAGGGTGAAGCCATTGGGGAAGGTGACCTTGCCCTGCAAACCAGGGAAGGGAAGCAGGGACACCTGTCTGTCTGTCTGTCTGTCCAGCTGCCCTTCCCCCCAATCAGGACAGGCCTCGTGCCTGTCCATCCTGGGTCACGGAGGCTAGGGACTGATAGGTCGCCTTCCCACCATCCATTCGAGGGGCTCATAATCCTGCAGGAGCCCCCGACCAAGAGCTGTGCCAACGGCCCAGGGGCTCAGCTCAGAGGTGGGAGACTGGGAGGGGAAGGGGAAGGGACCCTCAGGTCAGAGCAGGAGAACCATTGCTGTGGGAATTGGTGGGGGGGGGGGGGGTTAAGTCCAGAAGTAGGAAGAGGCCTAGGAAAGGCATGAAGTATGCTGGCCCTGGGAGGGGCAGCTCCCGCTGCATGGCCTGTCCCGTTCCGAGCACTCCTGGCCTCCCCCCCTTTAGATGCCACAGTGCCCCCCAGTCATTAGGTGAATGAAACAGCCCCCACATTTCCAAAAGCCCAAGCAGGACCCAACTGCCTTCTGCTGCGTCAGCTGGGCAGGACCATGCTGAAGGACAGTCACTCCAGGGGCCCCTATCCAAGGCACCTAGGGCCCTGTCGGGAGTCACAGCCCGGCCATGAGCACCCTGTGCACCCACGGCAAGTCCACCTGCCCCTCTTGCCTCCCACCAGGATCGAATCCCCACTCCACAGCAGGAGGGATCATGGCGCCCACCCTCTGGACGCCATGGAGATGGGAGAGGCCCTCCCCTACCTTTCCCACCCACTGCCCACACCCTCAGTCCTGGGTCCAAGCGGGGAGATTATAGGCTCCACCCAAGGCCTCGGCGGGAGTGCAGTGGGTCTCGGTGGTCCTCACCTTCCCCACAAGGGTCAGGTCCCTGGTGAAGGTGCCCTCATACAAGGAGTCATCTTCAGAGAGGAGGATCCCGGGGCCCTAGGGAAGGAAGCCTGAGTAGAAGCAGGGGAAGGGCCAGGAGACTGGGGGTGGGGAGGGGACGGCAGGAAGGCAGGAGGTACGCATCAACCCAGGGGCAGAACAGTCCTGAGCCCTGTCACACCTCCCAGCACTGTGCCAAGGTGGGATGCCAGCCCTTGGCCTGCTGAGCACTGAGCACCAGCCCCATGGACCTCATCCCTGGGTTACCCCGAAGGACTCCCTGGGACCTCGCTCCTTCTCCCCAGCAGCCTCTCTCAGGAAGCCTCCTGGGGGCCCTTCCTTCCCCACCTATGGTTCAAGAAGTGCTGAGCTTCTCCTCAGCCATCCCCACTTCCCTGTCACTGATCCTTGGCGACAGAACTGACCACGCTCCCTTGTTGCATTGGTTGCCAGGAAGCTCAGGGCCCAATGGGATATAATTTGTGTCCTACTTGAATTTATTCTGTGTCTGTTCTTATCTTTTCTTCCTCCTTCAGTCCTTTCCAGAACAAAGTGGAGCATAAGCCAATGTACAAGCCGTAATAACAGTAACAGTTCCCAGGCCAGAGTCCTACTATGTGCCGAAGCATCTGGCCGGGTGTGGGTGAGGTAGGAGGCAGGTGCTGGTGCGCCTGGGCTCAGGGGACCTGGGGGTGAGTCTCAGCCCTGCCACTCAATAGAATGTGACACCAGGCAGGGTCTCTGACCCGAGCCTCACGTATGTCATTCATACGCTGGGGACAGTGACATGATCCGCAGGGTTACTGGGAGGATGCCAAGATCGTGCCGGGAGGCTGAGCCCGGAGCCAGGCCTCCAGTCAGGGGTCTATAAATGTCCACTGCAGAGGCTGCAGGCATCATTGTTACCATGCACTTCATTCTTGCTAATTTCCCTGAATGTTTACAGTAAGTAGTGAACTTGAGTTGCTGATGGGGAAACTGAGGCTGGGAGGGCCAAGGCCAGGGTCGGTGGCTGGCAGATCTGCATTCCTGCTGAGGTTCTGGCTCCTTCTAGCACCTAGGAACCCAGCTTCCTGCCCCATCCACCCCTGCCCAGCCTCTGCTCAGCGTCGGGGCCCTGAGAGCAGCGGGGGGGCTCCAGAATTCAGCCCCAGGGCAGGGAGAGGGTAGCTCAGGGCACACACGGGTCACCCCACTCACCACCATCTTGTCCGCCTGGAAGGTCCCCTGGTAGCAGACACCAGCCTGGGTGACCATGACCCCTGGGCCATGGCGCTGGTCGGCCTGCCACATGCCAATATAGCGCTCGCCCCTGGAGAGCAGCCAGAGTGGGATCAGAATCACTCCCGGGCACTTCTGTGTGCTTTGCTGGCACGGTTGGGGTGGGTGGAGAGCAGGTAAGGGGCAATGATATCACCTGAACCCACTCAACTCACACACGGGGAGAGAGAAGTGAGGACCTCCAAGAGGAAGAGAGGGTGGAGGAGGGAGGGAGCCTGCCTGGGGAAGCGTATCCTGGCAGGCTTCCTGGGGGAGGTGGCAGGAAGGGCAGATGGAGTGCTAAGCCATGGAGGTAGGAGCCTACAACCGATATGACGGGTACGAGGGGGCATCCAGTGGTCTAGAAGGCTGGAGGGGTGCAGGGGCAGCACAGCAGGGGGTGAAGTCTCGAATGCCAGGCCGAGAGCCCTGGGCTTTGTCTCACAGCCCAGAGAGCTGGGAAGGGCTGTGGGCCTTACGTGGGGCTAGATGGGGGGGGGAGGGGGGGTCAGAAACTCCTCCCAGACAGCGCAAGGAGGGGCCAGAGGGGTGTGGGGAGGCTCCTCGGTCAGGGGGCTCAGGGCCCCCTCATTCTAAACCTCAGCCTCAACCAAGGTTGTGGACAGGAAGTGAGGGGCTTCAGGGGGACTCTGGGGGGACAGATGGACTGGACCCGCTGACGACGGGCCCCGTGCCCTGAGGCACCCTGCTCTGAGGGGCTCTGAGCCCTGAGCCTGCCCTCACCCTGCAGGCGGCGGCAGAGCGCTCACCTGGCACTGTCCTCCTCGACGCCGTACCCGCTCCGCTGGCCCCTCTCCCAGTGGCCCGTGTACTTGCAGGGCTGCGGGGCCCGTGGGGCGCTCGCGAGGACCCCAAATCCGTGCCGCAGGCCCGCCTGGAAGTAGCCCTTGTACACCTCATCGGTGCCATACCTGCAGAGGGCCACCGACAGCTGGCCCGGCCCCCCCGAGGTGAAGCCCGGGGGACGTGGCCACCCCACGCGCCCGCCCTGCCACCAGGCCACGGGGCACTTACTCACAGATGCCGTAGCCACACATTCTGCCTTCCCGCCAGTGGCACTTGTAACAGTCAAACCTGTCCTCGGGGCCCTGAGGCACCAGGCGGATGCCGAAGCTGCCGGTGTGCGTGCGGGGAGGGCAATCAGCACCTGGGCCGTCGCCTTGACCCAAGACATCCCACGACACCCCTCCATGCCACCCCGGAGTGTCCCTGCCTCCGAGGGGCCCTCTCGGACAATGGGGACAATCTCGCAGGTGCTCAGGCGTCCTTTCTTCCCAAGGGCCACTCTCAGAACGCCAGCCCCACCCCCCCCGCCCTTCATGCACCCTGGGAGCACCTTGGGGCCCTGACCACTCCCTCCACGGCCCGCCCCCTCCTCTGGGCTTTCCCTTTTGTGCACTAAGGGGAGCTGGACCAAATGACCTCAAGTTCCTGCTTGAGGTTTGGGAATCGAGGATGGGGCCAGGCTGGTGACGGCAGCGGGGGCGAAAGCCACTCGCCTGCCCACCACCCACTCCCACAGCAGCCCCAGCCTTTTACCCATGCTCCAGGCCCTGGCAAAAGTTCCCCACGTGATTCCGGCCATCGGGCCACTTCAGGGTGCCTCTGGAAGACAGTCGAGGTCCACGGTCCACATATCAGGCCCACCAGACCCACCCTTCAACACACACAGGCCCCCTGGCTGACCTCCAGAGCGGACTCTCTCGGAGGCCTACGTTCCCCTTGGACTGGATTCTCTGCCCCCAGCCAGCCCTCTTCTCTGACCCACAGGGGCTCTCAGCTCTTCTTGACTCCTGGCACAACTGCCCCAGCAGCTTCCAGCACACTCCCCACACCCCACGGGGAGAGCTCTGGAAACATCCAGGTTCCCTTTTTCCCTTGACCCACAGAAAGCTCCGAGCTAAACTTCAAGCTTAAGTCAAATGCTAGTCAGTGGTTTCTAGCATCCTCCTCCCCTCTTCTGACGCAGCATCGTTTTTTCTGGGGTTTTTTTGTTCATTTTTTCCTCAAGCCCTTTCTGAACTAGGCAAGGTCTCAGAAACTAACGTGCTTGTGAGCATCACCTCGGCAAGGCCCTTCTGCTTTCTGGGCCTCGGCTTTCCCAGCTGTATAGCATGGGGGGGGGGGCGGCGGGGGGAGGAGTCACATGTTCTTCCAAAGCCCTCCTGCTTGCGGGGTCACGCAGACCTAGAACCTGCCCTGAGGCCTTGGGCAAGTCATGCCAGTCTCTGGCCTCAGTTTCTGCACCTATAGAATGGGCGAGAACACTCCCCCCAGAGTGTTCTTGTAAAGACCGGTGGAGATAGGAGGTCTGCGAACCATTTCCACTACCAGCTAGTGCTACATGGACATGAGAATTATCCTTCCGTCCTCCCAAGAACAGCAACTGCAGACCTGAAGTCTCTCCCACGTGCTCTGGGCTCATCACCATCATCAAGAGTCTACACGGCACAGACCTACAATGGGCCCGGTCCTGTCCGACGGGGCTGAAGACAGACTGGGAGACCGTTGTGGGTAGACCGACCAATGCGGGAAGGAACAGCCTTTGGTTGGTGCCCGGAGGTGATTAGGTCCTGTCTGCCCCTCAGACCCCCAGGAAGAGCCCTGCCTTGCTGGGCCCGGAGCCCCAGTCACTCACCTGCCATGGGGCCTGCCCCGACACCACTCGCCCTCGTAGGTGGCCTGGCAGAGCCGGCCCTCGGCGCGGAAGGTGTATGCCATGCAGCGACAGGTAGGGGGCTCAGGAGGCTCCAGGTCCGCCCCCAGCATAGGGAAGTCCTTCTTCCCACGCAGGGCCTGGCACACAGCCTGAGTCACTTTCCACTGCCAGACCACCTGGTGGGGACAGGGGAGACAGAGGAGAGGTCACTGCTGTGCCGGTGGTCCCTCTGGGAAGCCTCGTGGGGTAGCTCCAGACAGTACCCCTCCACCACCCCAACCCTGTTCTGGCACTTGGCGGAACCTCCAACTGCCCCGCACTGCTCCCTAGGGCCCTGCATCCAGACCTGAGATCCCCGTGTGCAGTTTCAGGACCTGCCCAGAGGGGCCAGAGAGAACCACCGGGACCCACACAGGCCTCGATCCTGGCTTCATAGGGAGAAATGCCCTGTGCTCTGTGGCATTCTGATGCCTCACCCCAGGCTGACCACTGCGCCTCGCTCTGACCATGAGCCCAGAGGCCTGGCCACTCCCATGGGGCCTCCAGGGTGGTATACCTGTGCCCTCCCCCGCCCCTCCTCACTCCTCTCACCCCACCGCCCCGATTCCCAGCTCACCCACACTCACCCGGTCCTGGGGGGCCTTGGAGCAAAAGGAGAGCTCTTCCTCAGGTGTGAGGAGGTGAAACGTGCACCTAGACAGATGGAGGTGATGAGTAGGCCCCAGCTCTGTCCAGGAGGGTGTTCGGGAGGCCCCAGCCCTGGGGTGTGGGCAGTTTCATGAGGGTGGAGGGAGAGAAGGCCCGAGTGTCTTTGGAGGGGGCTGCTCACCCGTCCTGCCCAGGATCCACCCACACCAGCTTCAGATCAAAGGTGTGGACACTGTGACCCTGGAAGAAGATGGGGCACCGGCGTCACCTAGGGCCCAGCCCAGACACTCCCCTACTGCTCTGGCCCAGGCACCAACCTGCTGCCAACAGCACCGGGTGTCTCCTGGCCGCTCAGTCCAACATGCCCAGAACTGAGCCTGCTCCCCATCTCCAGGGCAGCCCCTCTGTCTCCCTTCCCATCTGAGGGCTGGCCGGGAACCCGGGAGCAGCCTCCCCCGCCGCCCACATCCTGCTCCACCATGGCTGCAGCCGGACACCATCGGCCCCTGCTGGAAACCTGTCTTAGGCTCCTACCGCCTGGGGGATGGAGACCTCACTGCTGAGCCGGACCCCTGAGGCCACACAGACCACTCCCAGCTCACAGGTCCCCACTCCTGGTGCCTGCCACACCAAGGCGCCATGGCCCTGCCACACTCACACCTTCTCAAGCCTGCCCCCAACCCCCCTCAATCTGACCCTTTGCTCACGCTGCTCCTTCTACCTGAAAGGCCGTCCCTGCTCTGAGACCTGATGAACACCCCTTCCTCTAAAATATTTCGTGTAGAGACCTCCTGCCCAGCCTAGGCAGGCCGGTCACTGCCTCCAGGAGGAGGAGGGGGCGCCAGGCCCAGGCCCAAAGGGCAGGAGGAGGATGGCAGACACAGGCAGGGACAAGGGTGGGCCTGGCACAGGACATGTAAAGGCCCAGAGGCAGGAAAGGGTGCAGCGCATTTAAGCGACAGCATCTCATCAGTGCACCTGGAGTGCAGAACGTGAAGTCGGGAGTGGAGGGCAACTCAAACTGAATCAGAACCCCAAAACCAGGTTTCAGGAGACACAGGTTTGGGCAAGTAGCCTCCCTGCCAGGCCTCAGCCTCCCTGACTGCAGGGGAGTCCCAGACTGACATTCTGAGGAGACAGAGAGGACAGTGCTGCGGCTATCACAGAGACAGTCTGAGTCTGGGGGGAACTAGGCACAGTCAAGGTTACAGGCCAGGGAACAATCCCAAACCCCCGGCCTGGCTCCCCGCTGACTTTGCTGATGTCCCGAGCCCAGGTACTGCTTCTAAGTGGTGCTCTTCCCTAGAAGCCTCGTGTGTGCCCTGCCCATCCAGCCCTCCTCAGCCACCCAGAGCCACCCAGGACCTCCCATCCGGGGCTCCTCTCCTATGTGAGGAAGACAACTAAGAGTTGTCCGGCATCCGCGGAAGGAGAAACTCACTCCCAAGCATCCCATTTTCCAGATGAGGAACCCGAGGTATGTTTAGCAGGGATGCCGGCTGGCCAGGGCTGGGGCTGGGACACACCTGGAGCAGCCTTGCCCAACAGCGCGCCCCTCCTGCAGGGATGAGTCCACTGCTGCCCCGACCCCAGCGCTGCCTGCCTCTCGGGCCCCATCCCCTCCCCACGAGCCCCGAGTTCTCGCTCCCAGCTGTCTCCCTCCCACTGCCTTCTCAGCCAGACCCCAGGCCCCCACTGCGGCCCCAGGACCTCTGGTCAGCCCCACCCCAACCTGCAGCAAGACGAGGGCATCGTCAAAGAGCAGCACGCGCTCCGCCCGCAGCGGGGCGACCGTCACGGGCACGTCCTGGCTGTCCTGCAGGAGTCGGCGTGCAGGGGTGCAGAGCACATCCTGCGGAGCAGAGCAGGGAGGCACGGGCTCAGGCACCCCCATCCCGGTGGCTGTACCCGCTCCTCTGCCGGGAGCACCAGCCCCCCACCCCCCGCATCTGAGCATCTCCTGGAGGCCCCCAGCTCAGCGATGGACACCAGGGTCCAAGGTCTGGAGGGGCAGCTCAATTTGTCTTAAAGCTTTGCTTTGACACCCACCTCCCCACCGCCCGCCCCACCCCCGGCCGAGCCCCCGACAACACTCACTGGGGCTCTGCAGTCCCCGCCTCCCGCTGGCGAGTCTTGTCCCCTCGCCTGTTCACCTGATTCTCTACACTATGCCCCAGTCCTGTCACGCCCTCCCAGGGCACAGGGGGCTTTCCCCCCCAGCAGGGGCAGTGATGTGAGGATGGGATTGTTTGGTGGCATCCCAGGACAGAGGGTCAGTTCTGACTGCTCTTCCCCAGAGCCAGCTCACCGTCTGGCCGGGAAGGTGCTCCACGAGCGTCTGAGCAGGGCTGGATAGACGGCCCTCCCAGCCACCTGCTTCGGCCACCGCTCCCACTCCCAGACGGGGAAGCGGACGCACGGAGAGTCCGGCAGGCCCCTTCCCTCCCCGCCCGTCAGGCCTCAAACTCACTCGCAGCCGGCTGCTCAGGGAGTGCCAGAGAGCCTGCGTGGCCAGGGCCTGGTCCAGTGCCTGCCTCAGGAAGGACTGCAGGTTCCCAAAGAGGGTGGCTGCGTGCACCACCAGCTCCCGAGTGCGGTGAGGCTGTGGGGACACAGGGCAGCTCATGAGTGGGGGGCAAGGGGGGAGAGCTTGTCAGAACCTCCCCCCGACCCTGTGATGCTTGCCCCAGCCCTGGCCGGGCCCCAGCTGCTCCGAAGGTCTGGATCGAAGCTGAAGTTTGTCCCTTTCTCCTTGCCAGCCCCTCCTTCAGGCAGAGGCCAGCGGGAGGGTGTTTCCGGAGGGTCCTGGGCCTGGGCCACCTGTCCTCACACCCAGTAACACGACTCTCCATCTGCTCCTGGGTCTCTGCCGGCCCCACTAGGGCGCAGCCAGGTACCTCAGACAGGCCAGGGCAAGGACAGGCCCCGTCAAACCCTCCCCCACCCCCCCACCCTGCAGAACACGGCCCTGTCCCCAAAGCGCGGCCAGGTCCTTCTCAAACCGGGGTCCCTGAATTAGCAGAATCCCCGGAGCCGGGGCCCTATTTCCCTCCTCCTTCAGCTTCAAGCAACAGGCCCAGTGAGCGGCCCCCGGCCCCCCAGTGTCCCTGCTACTTACCTCTGCAGCCGTGTCCCCGAGGCTCAGCAGGAGGAGCACATACCGCTGCACGTGATGGGCCAGTGGCTCGCGGAGGGCCTGGGCCAGCGCCGTGCCCACCGAGGCCTCGGAGCTCACGCCCGGCAGCAGCTGCCACAGGGCCTTCCGCTGGCCCCGCCAGAACTCCCTGGGCGGAGGGAGGGCCACACACCGCCTTCACTCCCCTCCTCCATTCCCGAACCCACCGCCATCCACCCCGCCCTCCGCGCCCCAGCTAAGCCCCCAGATCCCAGGAGCAGTCCCAGACCCCAAACTGCTCTCCTAGCAGAGAAATACAGCCGCCCTATTGGAGAGTCCATGGCAATAACCACCCCCCCTTCTCCTTCCCAGGGTCAAGCTTGGCCAGTGGATATCTGGATTGTGCTCACGGCCCCCACAGCCTTCCCTCCCTCTCTTCCAGTGCAGAGCAGTGTGGAATTGTTAGACCCAGGAGCGCTCAGGATGAGTCATGGGCTGTGACACTCTGCTCTGGGGCTGGGACTCCCGCAACCTTCCCTCCCGGGCACCCTCGCCCGCGCAGAGGGCCCCTGCAACATCCTGAGCTCACCTCCTCTTCTTTGCTGCCTTCTGAAAGGCCTGCACCACCACGCAGCTAGTGTAGGACTCGATGTACCTGCGGGCAGCAAAGAAGACAGCCTGCAGGCCCCGCCCACAGCTTCACACCCAGACCCCTGCGCTGCCGGGGTCCCCGGATCCCGATCCCGCTCACTGAGTGGCTGCAGCCCCGCCCCAACCAGACAATTCCAACTCAGTCTTTCTTCCCTGGGAGGCCCCAACGCTCAGGTCTGGGGTGTCTGAGCCGGTGCCGGGCTGAGGCCCAAGCCCCTGAGGCCGACCCCAGCTGAGCCCCACCGCAGCCTAAACTCAAACCTTGGCCTAAGCCTGACCCAGGTGAGCCCTGGTGCCCGGCGGCGCCCAGGCCCAGCCCCAGCCTTCCTCGCTGTCTTACTCCACGTGGACCTGCAGGATGCGCTCTGCATGTTGCAGCAACAGCAGGGACTCCAGACCCACGGTGTCCTGGTGGCACAGCCTCTCCCGCAGGGAGTGCAGGCTCTCCTCCGTCACCTCCCAGAGCCGCTGGGAGCTCCGGTGCAGCTGCTGCAAGAGCCGGAGGCACTCTCTGCCCTGGGGGTCCGAGGGCTCTGGGGCTGGGGTGGGGGGCACAACCGCAATGTGAGGGGGGCGCGGCACCCCACAGCCCGGGAGCTGCAGCCAGGGTCCTGCCTCCTCAGGGTCCCCGGGACAGGCCAGGAAGCCGACGTGGCCCCTTGAGCTCAGCAGGGACGGGCAGGCTGGAGTGCAGGGCAGCACCCTTGAGGAGTGAGTGGGGCACATATCCACCCCCCCACGAAACAGGGTCAGCACTCATGACCCAGGGGCACCAAGTACACTAGCTGCCCCGAGTCTCTGAGCTTTCTCAGGTCTGGGATATGCGGTCCATAGGATCCCGTGGTCCCCTGGCACCCACAGATGCTCGGACAGAGCCCCCAAGTGAAAGGCACCTGACCAAGGTCACTTCACAAGTGGGAGACCCAAACTGGGTCATGCCCTGGGTGAGAGCAGGATGCGAATCCAGGCAGAGCAGGCCCGTGCCCTGGAAGAGGTGGGATTCTGACTCTGTGCACAGCTGGGTCTAGGCTAGGGGTTCACGGCCCGACCCCTGGGGCGCCTCGGAGAAGGGAGCAGCCAGCGGCTGGAGCCAGAGCCCCAGGCCCATTGGAAGATGCCGACACCAAGTGTCCCCACTCCCGTTTGAGGTGCAGAAAGCTGTGCCTCAGGAGGTCTAACAAGGTAGGACTCGGATCCCCAGGATGCTTCCTGTGTCCCCCACCCTTGCCACTGCCAAGCCGAGACTCACTGGTTTCGAGCAGGGGCAGGAGGACAAGGCTGTTGATGCGGGCGAGGGTAGCCGAGAAGACCTCCTCCAGCCGCAGCAGGGCCTCCTCCTCCGGGCTGCACATGGCTAGAGCGCTGCCCTCAGGACCTGTGAACCGGGCACAGGCTGGAGTGAGGGCACCAGTGAGAGCTGGGTCAGGGCCACGTCTTCTGTTCGTGTGCCCGAGACTGCCCACAACAGGTGTCAGCAATCGGCCCGGGCAGCCTCAAAGGGGAATTTCTGGACTAGCCGCTGACCCCTGCCCTGCTCTGCCCCTGGGCCCAGCTGCAGGGACCTGACTGAGCGGGAGAGAGGCCTCAGAACTGCTCAGGGAAGCATCCCTTTTTAGCCAAAAAGGCAGGTGTTCTTTGAGCCCAGTTCTGGCCTGCTCATTCCCTTGCTCACACATCCACTATGGCTCCCAAGGGCTCAGAGTAGTATCTGATGGTGCTCTGACCTCACTCCCTCTCCACCGAGTCTCTGGAAACGAGGACATACTGTCAGAGAAACCCAGCCTTTTTCTCAAGGCCATGGTTCAGGACCCCCTGTCACCCAAAGGGCTATGTAAGCAAGGAGAGGTCTGGGGGAATAGGGAGGTGCTCTCCTGCTGGAGCCATCATGGATAGGCAAGAAATAAAGAGGCAAAGAGGAGGACAAAGCATGCAGGTGGGGACACCATGAGAGCAAAGGATCATGGGCATGAGGGCCCAGGCTCCGAGGGTGGCCCACCAAGAGTGGCCTAAATGGCCATGGGAGGAGCCATGGAGGATCTCAGGGCAAGGGAGTGGTAGGACCCAAAGCCAGACTTGCAGAGACGGGCGTGATGACAGCTGTAGAGGAGACAGTGCTGAGCAGTGGGAGGGTGAGGTCAGTGTGGGTGACAGCTAGATCCTCCGTGCCCCCCAACCCCGCCGACCCTACTGTGCCCGGAGGCAAGAGGGAAGGGCTGCAGGGGTGGGCAGGTGGGCTTGAGTCTTTGACCTTCCCACCCTGGAGTGAGGTACCCACCAAGCAGGCAGGGGATCCCCTGGGAATGTGGCTTTCTGATGAGAGGGAGGGGCAGCAAGGGGCCTGGGCTCCAACCCCCCGCCCCCCCACCCCAGCCTCCAAGCAGACACAGCCCTCTCCCACCAGAGCTGGGTGCCCTCACCAAGCAAAGTTCATCTGCCCAAATGACCTGACCAGATGTCTCAGGGTTGAGAGTTGGAGGGTTTTTAGCCCTAGACCCTTGCACTGCCTCTCCCTGGCTCTGACACCCTGAGGCTCCGCAGTTAGCTGAGTGGGGTGGGGTGGGAGATACAATCAAAGCTGCTGGAATGGGTAGGCAACACACACAGACCCAAAAGGGCGAAGAGGAAGGGGTCTCATCCCTCCCAACCCAGCCCCAGGGGCACCAGAGGGCATTCCAGGCCCCGGGCAAAATCTACAGCTCCCAGGGAACAGGCTTTGGGGCAGTGGGACGGATGCCTCAGAACTCTGGCCAAGGCCCTAGGCCCAGGCATTCCTGCCCCACCTTTCCTGCTGCCGCGGCTTCAGGAGGGCGAGGCCTTGGGAGGGACAGGCAGGAAGGGGAAGCAGCTAGACACCCAGCCGTGGCCTGCTCTCTCTGCGGGCCCCTGCAGCAGCCCCGGTAAACCACGCACCCCCCTCCCTGACCTGGGGCAGCAGGGCAGGTCGCTCCGGGTCAACTCAGGCAGACCAGGAGAGCCCAGCCAAGGGGCCAGGGTACAGCAAGTGTGGTCCGCCTGACCCTGCCCCATTATCTCCAGAAACGGACAGAATGGAAAGGCCCTTTGGGGGGTGACTTTTCCATCCTCAGTTGGCAGCCAGTCAGTCGTGGTCTGAACTGAGAGGTGAGGACACGGGCTAAAGGTAGAGGAAGAGGGTGCAGCCGGCACAGGAGGTGTGGACTAGGAACCAGATCACGGCGAGTGCGGACCTGCAGTCAATAGCTCGAGGCTGGGAGGTCCTGAATACCAAGTATCCCCCACACTCGCACTGACCTGGGACCCACCCCAGCCACCCCGCACCCAGGACACGGAGCTCTCTGTCCCTCTCCACCTCAGACTACCCCCTCTCCCCCCTGCAGGGCTCCTCCTACCAACCTGCCTGCACCCGTGGTCCACACTTCAGCTGCTCCCACAGGACTCCCTGCTGACCCTCTACCCACCGCTCAGTCCTGGTCATGCTCCAGCTTAGCCAGAGCCCTGCTCCTCTCTAGGCCTCTGTCACCTCCTCTATGAAATGGGGGTCTGATTAGATCAGAGCTTTCAAACTAAGCCCTCCCTAGAAAGGACAAACTGGTAGGGGGAGCTGCTCTGGGTGTGGAGACCTGGTCCTCAGCCTCCCTCCTCCGCTCAAAGCGGCCTGGACCCCTCAGGATGTGTCTTACAGACCCAGACTGGCAGACATGACTCTAGGACCCTTCCAGATCTGTGGCCCCAAAGGGATGTCTACCCCTAGGAAACTGAGGCACACTGCCCAGAGGAAAGGCCAGAAGTAAGCATGGCTGGTGAGGTTGTGGGCAGAGGGGGGAAGGCTGCAGATGAGGTTGGGGATCTGGCCTGGTGGTGACCATGGGGCCCTGCTCCTTGGCTAGGGAGCTTGGGGCTTCATCCTGGAGGCAACCAAAGGTGTGAGAGCAGGGAGCAGACCAGGCATGAGTGTGTCTGGGGGTGAGGGGAGGTGCTAAGCCATAACATGAGAGGGACCCAGCAGGAGTAATACCTGCTCAAACCCGTCATACCCCCAACACACCCGGCTCTGGTCAAGGGCATGGTCTCCTTACCCTCGCCCTCTACCCAGGTTTAGTGGTAGGCTGCACATGAGGTACGTAAGGAGAAACTGAGGCCTAGGAAGGAACCGGAGGGTCAAGACACTATCTGTAGAGCATGTGCAGGGCTCAGACCCAGGCCTCTGGCTCCCTGTCCCACCAGGCTCACCTGAGCGAGGTGGTTAAGAAAGGCTAGGCGACTTGCCTCAGGGCACATAGCAAATTCCCAGCAGGGCCCAGCCTCCTACCTCCTCAGGCAGCCTTGGTGCTCCCTGTGGGGCAGGGTGAGGACAAAACTGGCTAGTCTCGGCGTGCCCAGGTGAGTCAGCTGCCCGTCCCCATGTCGATCTAACCAGCAGCCAGACCTGCTCCTTCCCTGCATTCCTGGCCTCTGGCTGCGCCAGACTGCTCTCAGGCAGGGTCACTGAGGTCTCCCCTACCCTCTCCAAGGCCCCTCAGGCCCCTCAGGCCCCTCAGGCCCCTGGGCCACACCCTGTCATGGCATCCACTCTGGTATTTCCTGGTCTGGACAGGCAAGGAAGTTTTGCCTGCCACAGAGACTTTTTCCTGGGCTGCCCCAGGGTGGCTTAAAACAACCAGCAAGTGCAGTAGTAGAGCAGAGAGGGGCTGCCCAACTGCCACAGCTGACCCCTCAGTTTCCACTTTGGCCTCTCCCCCAGCACCCCTTCTCTGGCCTTCCATAGCTCTCAGCTTCTTGTCCTAGACATCTCCCCCGCCTCAGCCCCTGCCCCGGCCCCACTCCCAGTCTCTCACAGCTTCTCTGCTCCTCCCTGCCCCCGCACACGCAGTCCCCAGAGTTTCCCAAACATGGGATCCTGTTCCAGCCACCAGGCATTTGCCCATGCCGGTCTCACTGCAGGCGCCACCTCCTCCTGGCAGTCTCCCAGGCTGGGTGAGGTCCAGGGGGCGGCCCTCGTACCCCAGGCGGGGGTGCGGAGGCTGTCCCTGCGCTGCCCCTAAACCTGAGCCGGGTGACCACGGGGCAGGGAGGACGACGACGCCTGAGCCCGCTGGCACGGAGGGCGCCTTGGGACAAACTCGGACGGCCCCCGTGTGAGTGCCGCCTGGGACCGTGGAGTCGTGCAGGGACGGCGACCAGCCGGCCCAAGGGGGCGCTAGGCGAAAGTCCCACCTGGAGTGAGGGGAACGCGGAGCACAGGAGCCCGCCCACAGACGCGCGACCTCCGCCCCGCCCTCACCTGTGCGGTGCCGGTGCCGGTGCCGGGAGCCGGGAGTGTCGCCGCGG